GAAAACTTCATCCCGGAGCAGCAAAAGAAAGTGAGTGAGTTATCAGAGCAGGTGGGGTGTAGAGTGACTCAGTATGAGCAACAGAAGGTGGCGGCTGGTGAGGGTCTTGGCATACAAGCCCCACTGCTGGCTATAGAGCTGGAAATCAAGTTCATTACAGTCATATGCGCATCCAAGGCCTCGCACTCACAGCTGGGTTGCCATGCGATGCCAATTGCGAGCTGACAGCTTCAATTTCATGCGACAAGACGGACATTTATAATGAATAGAGCCCTGGTACGTCCGCACAGGCAGTCATGCTTTACCAATTCACCAAGTCAGAAAAAGCAGCGAAGATGGAAATCATCCAGAAAGGTCAAAAACACGTGTATTCACACAAGTGGACAAAACAGAAATTACAACATACTAATTAACTAGTTATATACTAATAATACTAATTAACTAGTTATTTCCTTGTTTAGTTCTCAAAAGTTGATACTGATATGTGATATACATTTACAAACAAATGTTTCTATATAGTTTACATTTGTTTGTATTAAAGTATACAGTACTGCTTCGATCAGTTTTTCCATTCTAAGCCAGATGTCAAATTGCCTGACTTCTTTCTGACTTTCACCGATTAAAAAGCTGAATTTCCATGATCTTTAATGAGCACGTTGCAGACAAAGTCAAATATTTCTTTAGATTTGCATGTTTTCATGTCACATCTGATTAGGATAACGCTAAACTCCAAAACAAAGAAAGTTGAATTAAAATTCCCTATTTGATTTAAAGGTCTAGTTAATAATTTCAATTAGTCTAACATTGCCAAATGCATTAAATAATAATTATTTACACAAATCTAAGATATTACAAACTAACAGCAACCTAATTACCTATATTTCCAATTTTGTGCCACCTAACATCGGATATACTACTAATAATGTTGGGAGGGTACGTAATACAAACAAATGGAAAGTCACCCTAATTATTCAACCTAATCATCTATATTTTAAATTTTGTGCCACCTAACAAAGATACTTATCATAATAACAATAATATGGGGGGGGGGGGGACACATAATAGAAAAGTTACAATTTGGCAAATGGAATTTTTTTTTGCCTACTACTACTACTACTACTACTACTACTACTACTGCTACTACTACTGCTACTACTACTGCTACTACTACTGCTACTACTACTGCTACTACTACTGGGGGGGTGGCACACGTAATAGACAAGATAATTTTTAACAAATGGAGAGTCGAATTTAAAGTGACAAAACAAAAATCCAAAAATCTCTGATATTTCATGACTTTTAGAACCTTTTTAAATAGTTTATTCCAGTCGTTAAAAATCAGGGAATTTGGTGTTTGTTTTATTTTCTCCATGATATCCCAAAAGTTCCATAAGAATAGGAACCATAATATGGATTAGAGCAGCAAAGAAACATAGACTAATCCACAGAAAGAGCAGAACATGTACAATGAGTCATTAAAAAAATAACATTAAAAGAGACTGCCAGATGCCTCTCTCTGATATCAACACCAAAAGCACTGCGCAGAAAGAGAAACATCATTATGTGAGAACATAATTCGCCTCACTCGTGGATTATTCCAATGTTTCAAACACGCATATAAACACTCAATCAAGTCTAAAGTTAAAGATGTTTTGAGACCATACCCATCTATAATGTCTAAAAGCAACAATAGCCTAATGTTGGGTTCACACCAAATGCCAAATGAATTATTTGCATTTAAAGTAGATTACATACAAAGCCAAAGCAAATGTGAGAATAGAGGTGAATATCTGCCAGCCGGCACAAATGATGCAGAAAGCATGACACATTTGCCATAAACTGGCGGAATTTGCCTTAAGCACTTCCTCCACAGAAGAATGTGTTTAACCAATTTATGATGTCATAGTTGGGTATATTCCAGGATTTAGTGTTTTTAGTAAAATCAGTAACTTCAGTAACAAAGACGTGTGACCCTGGACTAGGTGCTGCACGATTCTGGCTAAAATGAGAATCTCGATTTTTTTAAATCAAGATCACAGTTTTCTCACCATTCTGTAGATGTAAAATGAAGGTTAATATAGTAGGCTATTATTATTATTTCTCAAACATATGGTAAAACAACAATAATAATACTATGTGTAGGGTGTATGTCGTGCTAAAGTTTGTATAGACTTGAAATGATGGACTTGAATAAACTTTAAATTGACTTGTCCTGGTTGTTAATGCACAGGAAAGTGATTACATCAGAATAGAAGTATTGATAATTCTGAACTTTAATCCTGTTTTAGACGCATGCTTGCCTTTTTTACCAAACGATCACTCTGTGCTACAAACTGAACGTTATTTACAACTTTAATACAGGTTATTCACAGCCTATGCAGGTTTTGTCCACTAAAGTAGACATAATTTTTTTTGGCTGAGCGCACGTCCTCTCAGTAGTAAACGAACAACGAGTCAGCTCACCTGTAATTTCGCAGCCACAAACACATCAAGACAGAAATGACAATTTTGGCTGAATTATACCTTATACAGTATGCTGACGATTTGAAGGTGTCCCGTTGCTGAGCAACACAAAACAAGGCGAAGACATGTGTGATCGTCTTTATGCTTCTCTCCTGAACTTGAAAATATAATTGGCTGAATCGTGAAGATGCTGAATTAAGATCGTGTGGAAGGTCGAATTTAGATCACAATTTTTTTTTCTACCCTGGTCATAAGTACACATTTTTGTGCACTTACTTTCGTGCAGACCTGGTCCATGGTCACATTTTCAGAAAGCTACAGAACATTAATTTAGTACAATGATCTCTTTTGTAGCAAAAGCTCAAGTAAAACTTAATTTCTCAATTTATGACCCCTTTAAACATACTGTACATTCAGTGAATTAAATCAAAAGTTTGTGAACACCCAGCTTTAATATTAATCCATTGAGCTTTTAATCATCTGTTTTCCCTTAGCAATATATTACTGTACACACACAGCCTATATTAATAAAACAAAATGTGTTGACATCAAAAAGTGTTAAAAGAAATCACCGTTTTTACCCCCTCTATATTTAAACTAGTACATGTCACTCTCCTTCTGTGTGTCTTGCCTGTGGGATGAATAAGAAAACAAACCACTTCTCTCTCTCTCTCTCTCTCTCTCAAGGCACACTCTATCCGAGCTTTCCTTTTTTCTTAAATGAGGAGGGATTTGTCTCAGATACAAGACCACTGAGAATCCTACAGGTTTCAAAGGGTCTAAGATGATGATGTCTTGCACTTATTATCGTGTTTTTCCCCACTCTGACATTTTAACAGCCAGAGTACTATACAAATTTTGAGTGTTAATTAGTGTTATGGGGCGGCTGAACAACGCCCCTCAGTTATGCAAGTTTAATTGCATTTGGCCACACAAAATGTCTTCATAAATGTCAACGAATATTTAGCTGAGTCATTATTTTGCTGAAAAAAAGAGATCTTCTCAGAATCCAAATGTCAGAAAGACACGTGGTCGAACCAGAATCAGGATAAATTGAACAGAAAGTGGGATGATAAAAATAGAAAATGCTGAATGCAAAAAAGTTTCAAATTAAACATTAAAATTGGAGTACATGAATGTTCCATTGTCATATTTATGCAAAAATAAACATTTATCCTGGCCTGATGCAGACAAATGGATAAAACCTAGTGGTTTAAAAAGATTGGTATAGGCAATATGGGTGTAACTGATCACAACCCACAGTCCGGAACGCACGTGAACCATGGATTAATAAAGTTTTTTTGAACTTGTGGGTTAATCCAACATTAACAATTGCAGAGATATCGCCCCCTGCATCATTCAAATCATGTGTATGAAAGCATTTTGGCCTCCTGGTAAAATATAATGATGAAGGAAAAAGTTGTAGTGGGACTTAAATGCTTTTTTAGGTCATCTATAAAAAGGGTTTTCTTTCACTGGTTGTTTGGCCTGCATTAATGCATTCAATGTAAAGCTGCATGACTAACATTAAAAAGATTGTGATCTCAATTCAAACTCGCGTAACATAAATATTAAATGATAATGATTTACATGTTTGTTAATTCTTCGAAGCGCTGCATTCAAATCTGCGTTTGATCAAGAGAGATTCAGTTTGAACTATTTTTCAGTTCGTTACAAACTAAAAAATAACACAGAAGAACTGGGATAGCAGTTTATGTTTAACACTGATGTTTATGGTAAGGATTAAAATCACTGTTTAATGGAACTTGACGCTGGTGAATTTTGTAGCAATTACATTGTGTAAACAATGGGTGGATGGCAAACGACCATCAAAATTAAGTCAATGAATGGGTTTTCAAAAATGATACACATACAGAATAACAAACAAACGTTTGTGTGAATTGTTGAATCACTGACTGAAAATAAATATATGCTGAACAAATTTCTATATTTAGCATTATCAGCAACAGTAGCAAGGATCATTTTTCATATTGAATATTTTACTTTACAGTAGGTTCTTTCTTGATTTTTATTTTTATTAAAATTACAGGTTTTAAGTTCTGTTTGTTAAAACCAATGGTTTTTGCAGTGATAGTTTTTGTGTAAATGAAAAGCTAATGACATTTGTCTCCTCCGAAAAATAGTCCAATCTGTGACTTAAAAACAGTAGTGTGATCCGAACCATGAGATTTGTGATTCATTACACCACTAATAGACAAAGCAGATTTAAGCATTTTATGGCTGAACTGACATCCTTAAACGGATAGTTTAACGCCATCAAATGAATCCTGTTCTACACAAGACAAGATTTTTGGTATATAACCTACTGTTACACTAAATTACATTTTAATGGTTGTTTTCTGTAAATCTCAGTGCGAAAAACAAAAGTGTTAAAGTGAAATAACTAAATAAATCCCCAACTGGACACATTTCAAAGACCAAAGACTATATTAAAAGTGTATTACACTTCAAAAGCTCTTTTTATCTTTAGTATTCACAAATACATTATTTACATAGACAGACAGAAAGACACTCACTCTGTGATCTCCTCTGTAACAGTGTGTTCCACCTGCAGACGCGAGTTGACCTCGATGAAGTAATGTTTACCATGTTTATCCACCAGGAATTCCACTGTGCCAGCGTTCTCATAACCAACCTAAAAAGGAAGAGATGGAACAGACTGAGCTTCCCAGTCACAACTTAAGTCTTATTTTTTTATGTAGTCAAAACCTCTCTGGTGCTTAAGATTAACCATAGTAAATGTTTTTAGTTTATTTTTTTTTACAAATCTTACATATACTTCACATAATTTAAAAAAAAAAAAAAAAAAAAAAAAAGAGCAAGTGAGAGAGACTCAACCTTCACAAAGTGCTGTTTGTTTACCTTCTAAGACTTTGTGGGGCAATAAATTTTTGGAAAGTTTTACAGTTTATCTGAAGGTAAGTGTTGTTGTAACCAAACTGAACACGGTTTTTTTATTCTTTTGAAAATTTCAGCCCACAACAATTAAAATTACACTATTTTATGGCGTCCTTGATGTAAATGAATTCAATATCCATTAACATACTTGTTATTGGGCTATAGCAAGAATGAGGAGTTAAGCTTAACAGACGCTATAAACAGAAAGGTATGCATTTCCAATCAAGTCATGAATGTTATAAGGCAAATCGATTCAGCTGATTTGTAATGCAAATATCTAAACACCCATTAACAAGACAGCACTCAATGCATTTAAACATGTAAACACGATCAAGATGACCTGCAAACATTCAGAGTATCATAATGAGTAAGCTTTTCACTCAAAGCACACGTGCTGCTGATGATGTGACAATAAAAGTGATTTGATGAGTAGGGCTGCACAATATATATACACATAAATAATAGATTTAAAATCATAATTACTCATGATAATAGTATATGCAATATCCATACCACAGACAGATGTGACAAGTTAGATTTTTATAAACCAAGCGTTGCATATGTTGCATGCATAGGTTGTTTACTCAAATGTGGTCAATTAGATGGCAGCCAATAATCTTTATTCCTACATCCCCACTACAGTGTTTATAAAAAAAAATAAAAAAAAAAGTTGACCAAACTAGACTAAGCAAAGCTTTTTTCTTAGTTCCAGTCAGTCAACCTAAAAAGCTGTGCAGCAATTTTAAGGTCAACTTCTTTTTACAGTGTAGGTGCATTTTTGGTAATTTCCAAAAAGGTGAAGCAAGAGACTCAGATGCAAAACATTTGATTTCAGAGACTAAGAGACTCAGATGAGAGCTGAAAATAAATACTAATAGCAGAATAGAGAGAGGAATAAAATGACAGCAGCAAGTAGTTTAGGATGATTAATCGAATTTACAATCACAACCACAGTTGAGCAACACGGTCATTGTCATAAACATCTCGTCAAAAAAGTATGAAGTTATTAATAAAACTCTTGGAAGGAAGTCCAATTGCCCACTAAGAAACCCAGAAAATCCCCATAGCACAACATTATATACAGAAGACTTAACAAAATGTTTACACCTTAACATTGTTTAGCCTGAATTCTATTTAATTAGATCAGAATTCTTAAGTTATCTACTTCCTGTTTATTCATTAAAAATAATATAAAAGTTATAACACTTCTCAAGGGAAACATTCTATAGCAAGATATTTCAGTATCCCAATACTCAACAATCATATACCAGATTTTCTCTGGAATTGGAAATCCAAACAATGAGAAAAAGTTGTTTTACACTAGTGTGAACATGGCTTGGTTGCTAGTGCCAGAATGGCTGGTCAATGTATTTCAGAAGCTGTTGATCTACAAGGATTTTAATGCACAAACATCTCTAGGGTTTACAGAGAATGGGGTTAAAAAAAATATAAATAAATTTTAAAAAAGAGAGAAATCAAACCTTGAAGCAGATGAGCTACAGTAGCAAAAGAAAAGCAAACTGGTGACACTCCTGTCAGCTAAAAGCAAACTGAGGCTAAAATTCACAAATGATTAACAAAGTAGACAGTATTTATTTATTTTATTGTAAAGCACTTTGGATCAACTACGGTTGTGTAAAATTGTGCTGTATAAATAAAGTTTGCCTTTCCTTGCTTAAAATATTAAATGAAGGTTGCCTGGTCAGCTTAGTTTTTATTTCTATTGTGACATTCAGATTTTATGGTTAAAATTTGGTGCAACTGTTAAGTCTGGTAGTGCTGTAACAGTGTAAGGTTTATTTTTGTGGGATAGGTCTCTTTTATTTGTGCCCATCAATGCCCCATTGTTTAAACACCACAGTCTAGTAGAGTATTTCTGTTGACTAAGTTCATCCCTTGATGACCAGTGTGTCCATCTTCCAGCAGGATAACATCAAATCAAAGTTCAAATTATCTCAAATCTTGAGTTTGCTAAACTCAAACGGCCTGAAGAGCTTTAGATTTTTTGAAGTCAACTTTTATGTGATTACAGTCAATGTCAATCAGCTGCAAATGTTTTGCAACAGGCCGCAGTTTGTAATTTACTGCAGTAAAAAGAAAAATACAAATGCTGCCAGACGGCTCATAACAGCTGTTTTCAAAAGACAGCTAGCCATTCTATTCTTTTTAGGCATAATTGGCACTAAGGCTGTGCGATCAATTGAAATCGAATCGCAATCGTGATTTGAAACGTTGCAATTATCCAAATAGCAAGAGGCTGTGATATGAAATATGTATTATTTTATTTCTCCTGACCATAGGAGTCTAGGAGTGTCTTGCTAAAGTCAACTGAAAGTTATTACCAGTGACACTTAATCTAGTAGTGAGCAATAGCAAAGTACTATTCCAGAATTGTTTCAGCCATGTTAGTTTGCTGAGTATTCTGTATTTTTTAGAATTAGTATTATTATTATTATTATTATTATTATTTTATTTGAATAAATATTTAAGCTGATATTTTCTCTTTTCCATTTTTAATTAACACTTACTGCAAGAAAAAAAACTGCAATATCTGTCAAAAAAAAAAATCTATAAAAAAAATTAAAAAAAAATATATATATATATATTTATATATATATATATATATATAGCAATTAGATATTTTACCCAAATCGCACAGCTCTAATTGGCAAAATAATATGAAAAATTCACATTTCATTGGGTGAAAATGAAACCTTGAGGTCAGAAGTGGAACATTTCACGACTGAATTTCCCACTGCTGACTGTGTCTGGAATGCAGTATTTACAGAACATGTTTTTTGCATTTAAAAAGGTGGGATAGCACTCAGGCCTCCTACATCAAGTTGCTGTCAAATAAAACAGTTATTAATGTTCATAACAGTTGACCATACCAACTTGCTACTGTAAACAAGCTTGCAACGCTCTCACCCTACGAGTTCTTCTAATTTGTCCACTGTTTTGGGACTGACATCGATGAATGGCGCTTCATGCTAAAAGTTGAAATTCTTTTAACTGAACTTGGTGTCTACATAAAACGCAGAAAAGTGTGACAAGACAAGCGGAATGGTCATGCACGCTTACATTAAAAACCAAAGGAAAAGTAGTGCATTGATAAGAAAAAATGTTCTGTGTGAATAGCAATGCTCTGTGGCCATGTTGTTCATGTCAAAAAAAAAAAAGAAAAAAAAAACACATGATCAATGCAGCTCAACTAGCTGACTAATCTAAAAGCATCATGGCAGAGAATTACATACAACCAGTCTAAGCAAGCCCTACTTCACAGTCACCAGATCTCAGCCAGAGAGATTCACATCATGGATATGCAAACCTGCAGAAACTGTGATGCTCTCATGTCAATATGCACCCATGATCTGTGTGGAATGTTTCTAGCACCTTGCTCAATCTATGCCATGTAAAATTAAGGCTGCTCTGAAGAGAATACTGGGTGCAACCCAGTATCAGCAAGGTGATTTTTTTCCAAACAAAACTAAACATGTGTAACTGGAAACCAAATGCAGGCCAAAAACTGCAACTACAAATATTTTTGACTAAGAATCACTATAAATTGTTAAAGGATTTACCTCTTTGTTTGTTTGTTTTTTGGTGTTGTTTTTAAATGACATTAGTGGCTAAATACCACCTTTTAATAGCAGCACTAAACTATAGTGCATTGTGGTAAGGATGGATTACTGCAAAGGCAGCATAACAGCAGGTTGCCTCTTACTAGGCCACATCTTGACTCACACACACACCACAAAGCCCAATAGGGGGTTTCATAATCCCGTCCCCAAATTTCGCAGAAGTGCAATCCAATTCGTCCTTAGGCCTGTCTCAGCTGCCAAATTTCCCAACGCAACACGTCTGGATACACACTGTCTCACACACACACTGTCTCACACACACACACACACACACACACACACTGTCTCACACACACACACACACACACACACACACTGTCTCACACACACACACACACACACACACACTGTCTCACACACACACACACACACACACTGTCTCACACACACACACACACACACACACACACACACACACACACACACACACACACACACACACACACACACACACACACACACACACACACACACACACACACACACACACACACACACACACACACACACACACACACACACACACACACACACACACACACACACACACACACACACACACACGATATACAGTGCATGGAAAGTAAAGCATCCTTGATAACTGGCTGCCAACACACACTGAGATCAAACAACTAACCCTTCAAATTCCTGGCTGATATTCATACTCACACCCGCTCGAAAACCTCACAAGCCCTGTGAGACCGCAAGAAGGCATGAAGACTGTACTTGAGACTTGAGAACATCCATCATTTTCTCACACACATGCCGAAATGCAGAGAGCAGATTAAAACTATCAGACCGACACAATGAAAGAGATGAAAATAAACAAGACAGAGCGCAGTGCCCACGAGTAGACAGGTACAGACAGGTAATTAAGTTGGTAAAACGAGAAGAGGAAAGGATGGAGAGCAAGAGAAGAGGACAGATGGCATTCCACCGAGAGGACTAAAGAGGGTGAGAAAGAAGGAGCGAGAGAGATGAGTAATTATGAGCCTCACAGCTTGAAACAATTTCTAATTACTTTATAACATCCATAGCATAAACAGGGTCTACAGACAGGCTATGACGAGAGACAGAAAAAGGTCAAAGGCGGAGG